TAACCCCTACTTGTTCAATACTAAGGGTCTATTTGATTGGGTTTGACAAGACTGCAGAATTTTTTTTACTGGCCATCCAATCAGGCCTCAAGGGACTAATTAGATCAAATCAGGTTTCTAAAGGTCAGAGAATGGGAATGACAGTTTAACATTTGTCTAGAAAAGTTTTCTAAACCTTTCCTTGATATTATTCAACTTGAATGATTTTCACAAAACACTCAGAGAAAAACTAGAGGTTAAATTAAATATTTGACTTTGACTTGATTAGGATCTGCAATCTTCAAACATTATTAAGCTGGTTCACAGTTTGCATTGTGCATGTGCAGTATGATGCATTGTGGGTAATATGTCAAAGTTGCTGACCCAATATTGAGACACGTATTTCTATACCTTCAGTTGAAATTTGTCTCCCAAATTGATAGCTTTCAAACTTCCCCGGGGGAGCATGCCCCTTGGACGCTACTTTGACTAGACTCCTTTTATGATGAATGTTGGATCCACCAGAGTCTGGCAGGATCCTGATTTGTAGTTTGTGCACTGGGCCAGGAGCGACACACTTAAAGACGGTAACATGATATGCAATAAGCCATTGATTCACATAAATCATCAGAGTTTTGCCACAGTCTACAGTTTACAGTAGGATGGAAAGGGAGGTATTCTAAATAAGCAGTGGAAACAATTCTGTAGTACAGTAGTCATACAAGAGAGACAAATTTGTGGTGTTGTGAAATTGTGGTGAAAACGTCACCAAGAAAAAATTCACCATAAAAGTTTCACCATTTACAGTAGATGATAAAGGTATATTTCAGCTAGCATGCGTATTTATATCTACATGGCCTATCCTTGGGGATGACTATAATAATAGTCAACCTTCCCATAGGGCACATGCAAATCAAATGGATCTATATTGCAAGGCCTGCCTTAAAAATAGTTCAAACGATAAAATGATTCAACAATATAAAAGGGTGGCAAGGTGGTCTCGTGGTTAGGATTGTTGACTCAGAATCTAGAGGTTCTGGGTTCGAATCCCTGGCAGGCCCCAGTGTTATGCCCTTGGGAAAGGCATTTAACACCTATATGTATTTCCTGACTGACTCACTGACAGGTGAAAATGAGTGTTGTGACTTGCCCTTTCCATTTAACAGTAATAATCATCTAATGATAGAAGGTTTTTCTACTCACTGTACATTGGCATAAGTGCAAATCTCTTTCAAAAGGTGTTCAAAACGTGGTTACACTGAGCCTAACGATCTTTGTAATGTAAAATGCAGGTATATGTTTGTGTAATCGTGTGCAGTTATGTGTTATAGATGCATAGATAGCCACATGTAATTGCAGCTAATAAGTGCACACAATCTACACGGCTTTTGCACAAGTTCTAAGCGCATGTTTCACACGACTTTCAATCACAATCTCGATGCATGGGATTCACGTGACCTTTGCACAAGAAATACTAGTAAACGATTTAAAATCATGTGTAAAATACATGCGAAAGGAAGTTAATCGAGATGTTATACTATACCAAGGATATACACTACCAGTACCACCATATATATGCATGTACATCATGTAACAGGCTATAAAAAAGTTACACTGCATTGCCTATATCATGCTGATTAGCCCCAAACCCCTGACCTTCCAACACTGTGAGCCTGACACTCAGTGACAGCTTGGCTTTACAAATGCACTGAAGCGATCAAGATTCCCGTTAATTATAAGGTATATATAGTAGGAGTATTTCAGAGTAGCCATGGGTGATTTTCACAACATCAGGAAAAGCCTTGGAAAAGCCTTTTGTATGACCATGAATTTTTTCTGTACTCCCAATATCATGATAACCAACTTCATGATTTCGCAAAATTCATTATACACAAAGTAGGCCATACATGTAGTTGAGACTACAATGTAAGTACATTCAAGTCCTTTCAAAGCACTGTAATCAACAATTCACAATACTTCAATCCACAGAAAAGCCTCCCTTCTTCATCATAAAAGCCCATAATCCAGACAATCATCACAAGTGAGATCATAGAGCACACAATGCATGGATACACACGAGTAATAAAACATCACTCAGCCATGCAATAAAGTGAACATCTGCTCATTATCTATGCATGAAGGATTACAGCTAATACCGTTATTAGTTACTAAATAATCACTGGGGAAAAATAGGTATAGACCTTGGAGTAAAACGTTTCATTTTATCTTGACCTTCAGTGAAATACTGTACTATTATTTCCATTTTATATATACAGTCAAACTTGTCTAAGATGACCAAAAAAAGTGGTCTTCTTATAAGACTTATAATTATATATAATATAAGATTTTTAGTGGTCTTTTTACCCAAAAAGTATGTTGCATCAAGGACGTTGTATCTGGTTGTTGAAGCTCCTTGGTTCCGTCAAACGAAAACTGCAGAAAAATTTCCACCCATTTTACAATAAACTGCTCCACTGACCCAAAGTGACCCACCCAGCACCATTTTACATTGCATAAAACTTTCATGTTGTCAAAATCATTATAGCAAACTGGCCGAGTACATCAAGAATTCTCGCTAGTTATCATCAAAAAAGTTTTCAGACACACACTTGAAATAATGACGCAGTCGTCATAGGTAGAGATTGGGCCATATGCGGTCCCAAATAGTGCCAGTCGCGGTCGCATTGGACAAGTGGTCGGATCTAACAAGTCCCTTAATGCTTACGTCTATGGGAAAAAAGTCAGGACAGAGAAAAAGCACTCATTATATATATTATGGCCAGAGGATTGGCTTATAGACTCTGAGGTGGTCGCTTGCACAAGTTCGACTGTGTGGGATTTTTATATATTGCTTTTTGATCCGTCCTAATTGTTTTGATAATAAACATACAGTATTGCTTTCATACTTTCTATATGACTGTAGCATCCTGGAAATTATACAGATAACCAGAAAAATCTAGAATCTGTTCCCTGACACAATAATTTATACAGCTCACAGAGTGGTTATCATAAACATATATTGCTTCAACTTTACAATATTGTGTAGTTTTGTATTGTACAGTATTATCATATCATACATGTATTTTACAGAATTTTATTGTATTGCACTGAATACCCTGAATTATTTGGAATTATCACTGTTTGTTTTATACTGACGTTTAGTAATTATAAGGTTTCACCCCAAAAGGGCCAATATAGGCATTACCTTGCTTGCATCGATTTATTGGTAATAGTACCAGTATACTAGTCTCTACCAGACTCCTTTGCAGGCTGAATAAATAGTAGAAATCGGCAAAGGGGGAAATCATTGGCCAGAGGAGTTGGCCGGCCATAGAGGGTCCAGTTTGCCTGCACGGC